TCGCCGCCTAACATTGTCTCCCATTTCAAGAAGTTCCGTCGAATGGACGTTTGCTGTTAAAAATTTCCACTGTTTTGCACAATTGGTATGTGCAAAAATAGCAATACGTCGTCTGGATCCTAAATTGCGATATTTCACTCCAAAAATTTCATGTACCCGCACATAAAGCATGAGCGTGAGTAAAAATTTGAGTCTTTAGTTCGCATATGGGTGAGAAAACTTTCCAAAATTCAAGCATCCAAGTTTTCTGGCTTCCGACTGGGCAACATTCACATCAGAGCTTTCGTGTAGCTACACGTGAGACCTAAGTAAAAACGCAGGAGCTAAATTTGAGTTTGTGACCTACACAGATAAAGGTTTTTGATGAATAAATGCAAGGAATTACTGTGTCCTTGTAGCGGCAGGCAAGAATCACTGGCGACGTGCACCAGGCGGGTCCATGCGATTATGCGTTTTTGCAGTATTTCGCGCTGTAGCACGATGGCTGGAAACCCAGTAGATAGAATTTGTGACATCCTGGTTCTCGGAGTTCGTGAAGTTAATAGTGCAACTACGTGGTAATTGGACAGGGAACATTCCGTTAAAATTTCAACTTTCCACTCTCCTGGTTCTCCTGTTAGCAATTTCCCCACCAAAACTTTCATGGGGCCGTACGCGACCTGGGGGCATAGTTTTCAATCCTTAAGTTGTACGTGAGCTGGGAAGATCTCTTTAAAATTACAGCCTTCCAGCTTTCGTAGTTCCCGGGCTGGCCATTTCCCCACCAAAAATTTTCACGGAGCGTGAGAACCACGGATGCATGGGGGCCGAATTTGAAATCTTTGAGTTCTATGTGATTGTGGTACGTAATCTCAAGATTTCAGCTTCCAAGCTTTTTTGCTTCCCGATTTAGCGGTTTTCCCGCCAAAACTTTCACCCTCTCGTACGCGGGGTCCAGTCTTGCATGAGGGTTAGTACCGCGGTCCTGGAGTGGAACTTGGCCGGGGAACCCACTGACAAAATTTTGGCGCCGGGGCTTGCTTGGTTGCAGCGTTGAAATACCCGGACCGACGCACGCACACACACACACACACACACATACACACGAGGGTCGTCACAATATGCGTTTTTACATTTGCACATAGGCAAAAACGCATAAAAGTATTTAGGAGACCTGGCCGAGGATCAAAGGATTTAGTAGACATTTCGTTAATTCCGAACTGATGCACAAGTGAGAGCCGCAGACCTAACGATCCGTAGAAATGGGTGCCGAGAAGGCAAGTGCTGGAAAGTTATAAAACATACTGGGAACTGGGAAGCCAGAACGCCGCAGACCTAACGATGCGCAGAACCCGAATGGAAGAAAGAAGGTTTATATCGGGAGAAGAGAGCTTACCTCTTAAAAGAGGTGCCTCACTGTATTTACGCTTTGCATCCAGCTCTACCAACTGGATGCAATACAGGTGTTTATTATTCGTGCGAGGTAATGTGCGCACTAGCTTTTAATGTAAAACTGAATTAGAAATTAGGCGGGAGTATGGGAGTAGGTTACGGCAAGTATAGGAAAATCCAAGCGGGAACGCACCAGGCGAGCCGGTACGATCATACGTTTTCGCATCAAACTTGAATTAAACTGCATGAACGACTGTTTCTTC